ATTTGGATTCTTTTTGATCTATTGAGAGCTCTTTAAAGATGGCCATCGATTTTTGCATATTAATTAGGAAAATTACCCMTTTTAATCGATTTTTCAAACTTTTGCAATTTTCTCAAAAATAAAAGCGCGCTGGGACATTTTGATATTATTTCCTAAAACAACTTACCCAAAGGGTTGTTTTGGTACAATAAAAAGAAATTCGATTTTTTGAAACTGATTTAAGATTCTCGACGCTTACAGACATACGCTCTTAATTGCTGCTTAATTGTTTAGTGAAAATTAACTTGTATGTCTTTCATTCAATCAAAATTTTGGAGATTTCCGATTTTTGTCACAACAAAACAGTTCTAAACAGTCTTGAAAAGTGGATAAAAAATGGTAAACAAAATATAAGGTTAAGCTTACTATTGCTTCAATTTATAATTTTACATAACAATGTTTGGATATCCGTATGAAGAGTTTTATGAAGCTGCCTAACGAGAGAGTAGAAGATTCACCCCACCCACCATCCCTGGTGGAGGTTGACGAAGCATCACATGCTTTTCGCATGCTCATTGCCAGCAGTCGCGGTCACCTTCCATCGGTAATGAGTATGCAGTGAGGATAAAATACTGTGGAGCCTATAACTTTTGCAATAATCGCTCCCATTATGTCTAAAATCCAAGATGGCCGCCATATCGTAAAAAGGTCTGTTATATCTGGCACCCTGTTTTATGTCGCCCAGCTGGGCCTCCCCACAAACAATTCTTTCCAAGACCCTCACATGAGAATTGATTATCGATGCTAACCAAGAGGAATGTGGGATCTGGGTACGAGATTGGTATTTTCTATGTTTGAGTTCTTGCCTCTTTCTATAGCGGAAGTGACGAAAAAGATTTAGCTGATCAAACATCGTCAACCTTTTCATGGTCTTTTGTTTCCAAGTCTAGAGCCGAGATGGCACTGGATAAAAGGTGACGTCAAAGGCATCACTGCCACAAACGCCAAGAATGTAATAATATAATATAATATAATATGATTTATATAGCGCCTATACAAGTCGGCTCTAAGCGCTGTAAAATATATATAAATTATGATTCGAAAGCTAGTTTAAACAATGTACTTGAAATTAACTTGAAAGAGGACCAGCGAAGAATGTGGAAGGAGAATTTTTTWAATCAATTAGTTGGAGGTCAATCAATCAATCATTTAATTATTATTCCATGCAAGAGATTACATGTTGAGACAATTTTGTATAAAGAGGAATATGAAAGATAATTACGATACATTTATAATACAATGGATGTGAATTTAGTGTAAAATATCTTTCTCAAGGAAAGTAGCAAAAAAGAAACCAAAGGCTTATATTTTTGGGCTGTTTTTCATCACATTATATGTCTTTATCTGTGAGGAACGAGATTAGTTGACATTTGTCAGGGATATGGAAATACGCCTAGAAAGTTGTTGGAGATGGCAACTAACTAAAACAATCACTTGGTTAYTAATTGACCTCTGTCACGCATCATGCCTCTCATTTGCATATGGCAAATTGTCGTCAGTTGATTCCTTAGAGTCGGCTTGGGTTAATTAATTACTTAAATCTAAGTATCATCTTATTCAGCTTTTACCAGCTTTTACTATGACTATCTGAAACCTCGAATATCTGCTACACAGATAGTCCTAAGGAATGAATCTATAACGACCATCAAATGGCTTGCTTTGGAAGGAGAGAAGCCGAGTTTTACTGTCATGTTATACTTTTGGACGAGAGCGAGTTTCCTGTCACAATCCAAGTGAGTACGATTTTTTAATCATTTCGTATTTTTTACAAGAGTCAACGTAGATGTTCTATCAACCCTGTAGTATATTGGCCCAGCTGAATTTTATAGGCTTGTAGGGTTGACAGCAGCGTTGTGTTGTGTTGAATGATTGGACACCTTTAATTCAAGACTGGCCATTTTTTGAAAGTATAAACACGTACTCCAGTTTAGTGTATTCACTCTTATGACTACCACAACATCTTCAGCGACGCCACTGTAAAGGTATAACGTTACTACAATACATGCCTCAAGTGATGTTATTTTATATGGAAGAAAGACAGGGTACAGAAGGGTTAAGAAGAAGCTCAATATTATCGCCCCAAATGATGATGCTCAAACTAATTCCTAACAAATGTTAATGCGTAACAGAGAATCATTGTTGTATGCCTTGAGGAAATAGAGCACACGAATCGTTTGGGAATGATATGATCTTGACATGAGGGTGACTTCTAGGACGACTTATCCCTTTAGGATAAATATATTACAAACGAGCAGACACTCGCATGCATATTACTGTATTATTTACTGTATAGGAATATGAATCTTTGCTTTTGAATAAGATCAAGAAAATTCGCAGTGGTGCACTTCAAATATTCTCGCTAATCGAATTATGTTGGTAGTTTATAAATATTAGAATTATCCATAGCTCATAAAGAATTTAAAAAAAAAAAAAAAAAAAAAGAAAACTTTATTTATGATTATTACCATATTTATTTAAACCTCTCAGACAAAAGGATGTAAAGTAATTTAGTTGTATTCATAAGCAGGACGGGCTTACTGCTGTGATATGACATCAGGTGCGTGGGGGTTGAAGGAAAACACGACAAAAAAAAAAAAAAATCTGTTATACTCACCACGATTCTTTGATAGATTAATGTTTATGACATTTCTACGCTACGTGACCCTCAGTTTGCAATATAAAAACAAGCAGTGTTAAGTTAATGGATTTTCGTAGCAGGTCACACACATGGCTGCAAGATTTGTGATCCTATCAACAACTAACATTTGTATGATGACATGTACTTGATATGAACAATCCATTATGCTTTTTCTTTTGTAACTTTTTTTTGTCTGCAAAGGGCATTATATTATGTACTACTATATGCACGTGTTATTCCAAAACTTAGAATGTTTCATAACTTGACTGAACTGCTATATATGTCAGTCATACTGGATTATTTGCCACTGTTGCTATGAGGAAGAAGCTCCAAGCAACATATCACGTTACCACCAGGGTCCTCTTTTCCTCTTTTTCTGAGAGCCAATCTCGTGAAGTCTCTTGGATCATCTAACTACGAAATCGCTTTTATCGAAATGACACATCAGATACCTTACTCACTCCCCATTAAACAGGGGGGGATGTTACGACCAATGGAAAGTTGTAATATTGATTACAATTTGCTTTTGTCCATCGATTGATGAATTACGGTTAGTTAGTATGGCTTTATTTTTAAATAAAATTGGAAGTTTGAATCAAGTGAGTTTAGCAATAATAAAACAATACACCCTTAACAGTGTTTGTTTGATACAACGCAGAAATCGACCAAGGGACAAGAGGTTCTTGAAAAAGTTTTCGATCATTTGAATTTGCTTGAGCGAGATTACTTTGGGCTGCGCTACGTCGACAAGGCAAGCCATTCTGTAAGTAGATGACATTTCAAGACAACACTCAGTATAATAAGGGAGGGAGGCACGGGGGGCACGTCCTCACTCCCAAAAGTTTGYTTTCGGCAACAAAGTTTATTTCATTCATTCGGGATTCCTGTGGATTTGGCGGGGGTAGTCTCCTTGGTAGCTGTAATCGACCCAGTATTTGGGACCAACACTTTAACGATTTAGAAAACGTGTGTGTGCGATTTTGCACGAGATGTACCCTAGGGTCCAGAAGTTACTTATTTCTCCCTTGCGCCTTCGGTGCTCCCTCGTTACAACCATGGGAAGCAAAATGGAACCCAGGCTACACGAGTTGTGAAAAAAGAACGAACTTGTACATTAAATAGTGTAAATCAGTATGAATACTTGTCAATATTAGCATTCAGTATTAAATAGCAATGTCTTGGTTTCTAGTGTATTTTTGCTTAGTATTTGCCATTTGTTTGTCCTTCCAGAGATGGCTGGATCCCATGAAACTCGTTATGAAACAATTAAAGGGTAAGCTGATCATCTGATTCACTCTGTTTTATAGTCCAATAAGCTGACACTAACACTACCGGTCATTTCTATTCATTTTACAGCAGGTCCTCCATATCTGTTATACTTTTGTGTCAAGTTTTATGCTTCTGATCCTTGTAACTTACAAGAGGAGCTCACCAGGTAATAATTTTTCTTGTTTTATTGAACCGAAGTTGCAAGGGGACCAAAAATCCCACTTAATGAATCAAAATGGTATCAATTTCGACCAATAACTAGTCACACCCATTTTAAAAATATATTCTAAAAGTGATGAAACCATAGCTAATTAGCTATGATGAAACACAGCACACGGTAGTCCATAACTAAATGAAAGCAAGCATGTGATAAGCATTCATTAACGATTTCTTTGATGTGCCGATCGTTCACAATGACGATCAAAACCTCCGAAAAAAGAGATTAAAATCTAAAAAGGATAAAAGCTCTAAAGAAGCAGTCTAACAGGCGCGTCGCACTAGTATGTTCCATGTAATCTCACTGTACTTTACCATGACTGATGATGGCAGTCGAACCTGCCGTAACATGTTTGGTTTGAAACTGCCAAATATCAAAAGTGTCGTTGTTTGCTTAAAACTTTTAATTCACTTGTTGCTGCTTAGGCCTTATGTTCCATGTCTTATGAACCATTGATACGAATTATGAAATGCACTTGTATTAAACTGCGCATGTCATAAAACTGAGAGTTCCTTATATAGCCATTGCAGCACGTTGGAATGCAGCTCAATCTGAGCGACTAAACAATAGTTTCCAATTTTCGGAAGATTGGGATTCTTTTGCTTTGTCCCCCAGATCGAGCTGCTTTGACGTCACATGCAAGGGGTCTATTGTCTGTATTAGTAGGGTATCCTATTGCTATATTGGGACAATCGCTTCAGTTTGTCATACATTGATTCAGTATTCTTCGTTGACTTTAGAGCTTAAAAGTGTTCTTTACAAAGCCTCTATTTGATCATTTTTCCATTCTTCTCCATGTTGTTTCATTTTCTAATTACCTTCTCATTTTCTTAGATATTTCTTCTTTCTCCAAATAAAAAGGGATATATTTCAAGGAAGGTAAGAAACGGTTTTTCATACAGGTAAAATATAAACACCACTAGCAATTAATTTACCGTAAATATTTGCTGCTTCTTTAATGAAGAATGCGACGCTTGCCTCTCACAGTCCTCTCACACAATTATTTTCCTCGTTATTATCCTCTCAAACACAAAGGAAGGATATTCCAAACCTCAAACGGATACCAGAAGTGGAAAGCCTAATGAGGACACGCACCGTAATGTATTATAAGATATAGATATAGTTAAGATATATAGTTTTAACTTTAACTCTAATAGTTGTGACTTCAATTCTTTTGGTTCATAACATCATTGACAGTCATTTGTGTTCACCGGCTCAGAATGGACTTGCGCTCATTACCTTTCTAAGCTTGGTTTTTACTTCATCTTGCGAGAGGTTGCAAGTGAAAAAGCCTCATCATAAGCAAAACTTTCATATTCAGATTCCGACGCCCTTTAGACTACGATTCTGACACCGACTGTTTTCTGATTTTCACTACTTCATAAACTGCTTGCGATCAGTTCCGACTCCGAATCCACCGCAAGCGGTAAGAACAGGGGTTAACTTTTTTGTTCGCATTGTCAGGCTGTGGACCTTCCACATATTTAGGACTAGTCTGGGGTCAGGTAGAGACAAGCATTGATGTCGTATATGCTTTTTTCTTTTTCTTAGACTACCCTGTTCTCAAAACTTACTATCAGAAGTTTCGTCATATGCTTTGCAGTGTAAGTTTACAGTTCATGTTATCCTATTTCATCTTAGCGCGCGATAATCCAAACACGTTTTAAGGCTAGCACGACTTTTTTTTATTTCCGGACGTCTTGTTGGTTTTTGGGGGAAGGAACGGAGGTCTTTTTAGCCTGCTAGCCTGCTAGCCTGCTAGCCTTCATAGCAGGCCCTTAGGGGATTCAGGAACCTTCCCCTTTCCAAAGCCCCCTCCCTCGCGATTCCCTTCACTAATTTCCCAGGACAAGGGTCTCAGAGCTCCCCACTCCCCACTCCCCACTCCCCACTCCCCCCTTCCACATCAACACATGCAACCCCCCTCCCCTTGTCTAAACTCTTTGTAAACCTTCTCATAAACTTACCGGCTTGCTCCAAAACAAACTCAACATATTAATTGTGACAGTATTTTCAACATGTGTTTGATCTTAGCCGAGCTTGGAGACTTCGATCCCAGACAACATACTCAAGGCTATGTTTCCGAGTTCCGCTTTATTCCCAAACAGGTCAGTTGTCTGCTTTGCTTCATCGACATGTGTTTGTTAGGACATTGTCATAAGAAATTCCATACTAATGTCTGTTGTTTTCTAGACAGAGGAACTAGAAGCAAAGATAATGGATTGTCATAAAAGACTGACGTGAGTGAAGAAGTCGACGCATACCGCTACCGCTACCACAACCACATTTGAGTTGTTTCCCCAGTTTCATTGGCTGGATCGATTATATTTCTCGTTTATGATTGGCTGATGCCAGATTTTAGCCCACAAAATGAACCACAATGTCCTGTAAAGTTATCGTAATTGTTTTTAACATTCTTGATATATTTTAGTGGAATAGTTCCATCAGTTGCTGAGTTCATGTATTTGGACAAAGTCAAGTGGCTAGAGATGTATGGCGTGGACTTACATTTAGCAAAGGTAAATTTAGAACTTAAAGCAAAGTTTAAAATGTTTGTAACGTGATTTTTAGTCACTAGAATTTCTACTATATCTATTTTTCTTGTCTTCACTATGCCTTATAACAGGGAGAAGATGATATTGAATATTTTGTCGCTTTAAAACCTGCTGGTGTTATTGTGTACAATAATAAAACTCCAGTTGGAACATATTTATGGTAAGTCAAGATCGCAATGTTATTCTTCTGTTTAACATGGCGTCAGCGATTGACAATCACTCTAATCTTTTTAGGTTAGATATATGTCATTTGATATCTGTTGCAATGTTTTATCGAAGAAAACGCACGCGCGTGCTTTGTGCAGTTGGCACAACACAAGAGGCAATGTTAGGAGTGCTTTTCGATACTTCTCTTCAGTTCTGTCATTCCCCAAATGCTTTTTTCATGACTGCACACGGCACAGTGGGAAAGTTTTAATAATAATAGTAATAATAATAGTTTATTATTTGTATTGCGCAATTTAACATGTTAATATGATCAACTGCGCATTACATATAGGTACCGACTAAAATACTAGGCATAAAATCTCAACTAAAAAAGAGTATATAAAAGATTTAATAACTAAGGTCCAGTTTAGACGTTACGTATCTCTTGTGGTAAATTGTTCCATAACTTCGGAACAGCAGCAACCTTTTTTATGTCTTTCATAAATACAAATTAGAATAGTCGTTGCTTTTGGTGAATGATGAGATAGAAAGCGCGGCGTGGCCATGTTAGATGGCAGAACATTGAAATTTCTTTACCATGAAGAATAAATTTTTTTCTCATGTTAAACAATTGTGTTGTTTCTGCTATCCAACATGGCTTCCGCCACGTGATGATGCAGAACCCTTAGTAAAAGACATGGGAAAGAGATTGTTAAACCCATATAATGGTTTTGATTTTGTGTTGAGAAATTTCTAACAACCTATTTTCTTTGTTGTGTCTGTTTTACGTTTCGCAGGCCAAAAATAACAAAAATAGATTTTAAAGGAAAAAAGTTCAGTTTGAATGTATCAGGAAAAGAGGTAATGAGATGCATGTGTATTTAATACTACAATGATAGTAGATTTATATTCTGATCGAAGCGTTTTCCGACATGATGTTAGCGAGTCGGTTGTTAAAAGATGTTTCTTTTTTAGGGGCGAGAATACGTGTATATTTTTTATCTACCAAACAAGTCCGCTTGTAAACATCTGTGGAAATGCTGCGTGGAACACCATTCTTTTTTCAGGTTAGTCATAAAAATTACAACGTTGGTAGAAACAAGGCGTTGCGTGGTGGTATTTTACCCACTGCAATTGGCTGCACGATATATTGAAGTAGGCATCTATCAGTATGTATCTAATAATGACTTACCTTCAACTATACATAGAGCAGACTATTCTGTTGTGGTTTCTCCATTGTGTTTTAGCGTTTGTAATTGTAACAATGTTTGAACTGGACAGGTACTAGATATTCAGCATCCAGTATTTTTTTCTTGCATTATTGCAACTTCTTGCTTTAGTCTACAGTTTGTTTTTTCTTTTTTTTTTAGACTTGATAAAGTTAAACCTCCTGTTCGACGTTCAAGCTTTAGTGGGCTGCTACGAACTGGTTCTGGATTCAGATACAGGTACAGGAGGCTTGAGTATGATTTAAATTGTCTTTGGGTCTTGTTTCATTGAAACCACAACTTGATTTGGAGGACGCGTGGCTAAAAAAAAACAAGGGGATTGGCTAACTCACAGATCAAATTGAAATTTAAAGTGTTAAAAGGGAGAAGAACCGGAGAACCTGGAGAAAAACCCTCAAATCAAGGGAAAGACCCAACAAACTCCGAGTGAAATCGAATCTAACCCGAGATCTCAGAGGTGAATGTACAACTGCTACACCTCACCCATGATTCCAGCCAGTCGGAAAGATATGATCTACAACAACTAAATCTGTCGGTGTTGCTTTTCCGTTATGTTATCAGAGTACACATATCAAGACCAAAATTAATGCACAGACAATGCCTTAAAAAGCGAATGGGAGGGACCCGGTTCGGCTTACAATATACTTGACATGTAGAAAACTAGTCAATAGTTCTGCAAACTGTAAACGTTTTCTTCAGACATTCGGCAGTTTTCCTCTGATTTTCCAAACATGCATAGGACGTTTTTTCACCTGGTGCCTTTTTGGCCAATTTCATTTTTAGCGGGCGAACACAAAAAGAAGCGTTAGAAGAAGGTAAACGAACCAAGCGATCGAGTCCTGTTGTGCAAAGGTATGCTACAATGAACTGAACAAGATTTTAGTTTCAAAAGTCATTATTTATTACGGCTGTTCAGTGGTTTTAGTACACTTTTAATGCTATGATAACTTTGTTCTTTAGAAAACCAAGCAAACGTTATAATAGACGAGAAAGCCAAAGCAGCGAGAGAGGTATGCTCATATCTAAATAGCCCATATCTAATATAGAGGATATTACATGGGCGCGCGGAGATACGAATTTTATCTTCGAGTGTTCAATTGATATCTCACGAGTGAGGGCAGCGAACGAGTGAGATATCTAAATTGAACACGAGAAGATAAAATTCGTATCTCCAAGCGGCCATGTAATGTTCTGTTTATTATATAGATATCGGTGAATCTTAAACAAAACAAAAGCTCAAAAATTCTTTATTGAAATACGTTACTATGTCAACAGCGATATCTTCACGTGTGAAAGATATGGTATCTTCCACTGGTGAAAGATATCAAGTTTTCGACACTAGAGAAAACCTGGTATTTCATCGATATCTATATAATAAAGCTTCTTATTATATAATTACCAATGAAATATCTATTTTTCTCTATTTCGAAAAATTGATATCTTCACACGTGAAAATAACATGTTATTTTCACGTGTGAAGATAACACCATTGCGATGACTATTCAAAAATACACGGAAATAATTGCCTGAAAAAGCCCAAACATACTCCATTGATAATTATATAATAAACAGAATATTACATGGGCGCTTGGAGATACGAAATTTATCTTCTCGTGTTGAAAATCTCTCACTCGTTCGCTGCGCTCACTTGTGAGAGATCTTTTCAACACTCGAAGATAAATTTCGTATCTCCGCGCGCCTATGTAATATCCTCTATATCTCTAATAGCCTGCGGCTTCGGCAGATAAGACGGCCTTGGTCTTCATAATTTACGATATCATGCTCAACCTCGTTCAATAATTGTATAATGTTCATTTAATAAGTAGTTGTATTCAGTTGTGCATTTTGGAAAACTGTTTGATCTTAGGTCATCCTTGCGCTGCACCAGTCCATGCGAGAAATGGTTTGGAAAAAATGCAAGGAAACATATCGCCTCTCGCTAACCCTGACACAAACCTGTAAGTATATCTAAGAAATAAGGTGTAGCACTGATTTCAAACCAGATTAGTGCAATTAGTAACTTGAAAAGAGTCACTTTTCTTATTCCCAACAGACAGACAAATTTACAATATCAAGATATGACCGACTCCGCACGTGGACCTGGACTGCCCTGGGAAGAGCTTGCACAGACCCAAGCGTAAGCCATAAACAATATTCCAGCATTTTTGTCCATTTTTAAATGTTTATATATCTGCCCAGAATCCCGTCGTTCGGTTCGAAGCAGTGGATCTTCACGCTAAACCAAACCAGAAATCGAGACCTATACCCCATTCACACCAAGGCTTAAACATGTTTTAAAGTGGTTTAATTAAACAGGTTTGGAAAACTATCTACGAACACTGCACAATCTTTGGTGAAATAATGCATGTAAACTGTTCTTTGTCTTGCTCTGACAATATTTTAGAAAGTTTCATTATATTGTAGGTTTCTAGTTCCTCAATTTTGAATGGGGTACTTGTCATTGTAACACTATATGTTTGGACGTTCATACTCTGACAGCATCAGTATCAGCTATATTTATTCATCTTTGTACCTTTAGAGGYTTATATACTCCTGCTCCAGAATCCCCTCGTTCGGTTCGAAGCAGCGGATCTACAGGAAAAGTAAGACGACGATCACCAAAGTTTCCAAGGTGAGGACGTGGAGTGTCTTTGTCTCTACAGTATGTTTAAGAGTTATTCCACAAGCTCGAGTCGTACATGAGCTCATGCACCCCCCCCCCCCCCCACCGTTCCCGTTTAACAAATAAAACAGCTTTTTCTGTGCTCCGTTCACTAAACTAAACTAAACACGCAGGAAGTGACGTAAGCACGAAAAAGCATTACTGAACGGAGCATGGAAAAGCTATTTTATTTATTTTATCATATAGTTACTAAATCTATTTCGGTATTGAATTTATTTACGCAAAAAAGAAACACGGTCGCAGGATCTACCAGCACTTCGCGCGCACGGATGGCGTCAACACTATGCTCCGTTCACTAATAAAGCACACTTTTCAGCCAATCGGCGCGCGCGTACTATCCTAACTATATATTATTGAAATAATTCATTATATAGACAATCACTGGAAAATTAGAAAATAAGGCTTTTTTATTCAATTTATAAAAAGTATATTTCCAAAAACCAATCGGATTCTTATCTTATATGCCCTGATATTTTAATTGACTAAATTTATTTTTTTCAACCTTTGTCAGTCCTCATCGTCGTTCAGGTCAGAGTAGTGGCAGTGAAACAGATTCACCAAGAAAACGGTAAATACAAGACCAGTTTTATTTTTTGATAAATAGCGATACGAAGTTCTAAGCGAGACTGGAGTGGGCCTATTTTTCTCTCCAGACCCAGTAAAGACGAGTTTTTAGAATATCTAGTTTTAGGATTCCTGTGGACGCGCGGAGATTAGAGCCGAGTAGGCGGGAAGCAGGGCGTAATACCTAATAATGCATGCATCATTTGCTGAAGACTCTTCACTTAACATTTGAAATAAACAGTAGATCAAACTCAATATTTTTTAAATTCATTTTGACCCAGGTCCCGATCAAGGTCGGCTTACTATTCTGATGATGACGTTAGTCGTAGACGCAGACACCACAAGAGGTAATAGATTGAAGATTACAGCGGAGGAGCCACCATGAAATACCCCTTTTGGGAAATCTTGTAACGCTCAGTACAATATTAATGAAATTAGAACTAACCCCCTTTGTGAAGCTGCGCGGCGGCCATTTTGGAATTCCCCCGGCTTTAAAAATAATTCCTAGAATGAATGACTGATTATATAATAGTTGTTAATCACTTGTAGATCACACAGACATCGACATACTCATTCAGCTGATTCTGGTAGTGATACTGGTTCGCTACCACGAAATAGGAATCCAAGAAAAAAGCACAGGTTTGTTGCTCGAATTATTGACGGATGTTATTTTAATCAGTAGCGTTCCACCTTTACTGAGCGGCAAGATCAATGAATAAGGAATATGAGTATTTGTTGAGTTTTAGTTATTTTGTCCCCTCAAGTAATCAATAGATATTTGACATTTATTGCCGGCACATTCTGTTCATCGTGATTATGTGATCGTGCTGATCTAGCTACAAAATGTCATTTATATCATTCAGGGACATCTCCTTAATGAAGTTCCATATTATTGTCATTATTATTATTATTATTATTATTATTATTATTATTATTATTAATAAAGAATTAATATTGTAGAGAACCGATCAGTATGGAGGAAGTTGTTAAACTCGGAGATGCGGCACCGTATCACTGGGATGAGCGTGGAAGTGAACGACGACACAGGTACTAACATCAATAATACACTTTTCTTTTAATTGTACGTACTCTGCATGTATGGGAACTTCTAAATACGAGTAGAAAATGTCCAAAGAAACATGGCATGTAGTGAGCTTGCCACTTTCTGGCTTACTCCCCTCTCGCGATCGATTCACCTTTATCACAAGTCACACTCACCAGCACTGTCGTGTCAATTATTCTCCAGGCTATTGGAAAACTTACTTCTCGTAAATTATCATTTCAGACATCATCGTGGTAATTATCACTCAGATGTTAGATCTGATGGATCGTCCGTACAAAGGCCACAAAGTAGAGTCTATAGTGATTATGACCGGTAAGTATATAGCCCATATAACCTATAAACCTAGCTTGTTCTCAGGTCTGCGCGTTCATCCTTTAACTTTGTGGATGCGGTACATAGCATCTTAACTTTGTTGCATGCACGTGGAGTGATAATACAAGCAACACTCGCTCTGCATTCAAACACACTTGGGACTACCAAGTGATATTGATATGACTTTGAAAAAATGCCTTTGGTCATACCCTTACTGCACATGCTGCTATTGCCACTACTGCTGACCACAATTATTTATTGTGTATGCTATTAACAATTTTCATGTATTTTGAAGTGTCTCGCAGACCGATAGAATGGTACCAGCATTAGATGTTATTCAACCTCGTATAGCATTAACAAGAGAAGCCAAAGAGCTTCGACACCGTCATCATCATCACCATAGGCACAGTCACCATGGAAACCCCGTAAGTGAATCAGGCCAATCTACTTTCTCAGCTCCACCGGCGCCTCCAACAAAATTTCTAGCAGATCTTGGTCCAGAAGGAATGTTTACTACGCAGAGAACCGGTGGACAGCCAGTATCAAGGATGGTCAAATCCAGTAGTATCGTCAATGCTCCCTTGTATAGTTCAGTTCAAAGATCTTTTGGTTCACACCAAGAGGTTAATGGACCCACAGTAACACCAAGTGATGCATTCTTTGGTAACACTGTTGTTCAGTAAGTAAAACATTTGATCGTCGTACAGATTAAATGATATACTTAGGAATAAAAAATGGCCTGAAATGGTAAAACATTACGCCATTAAGCTAAAGAGAGTGATTGTTAGTTTGTTTCGGTAAAATACGTGACGTGTGTAAACATGTTCAACTGAAGTAACTCTGGTTCCACGAGGAAAGTTTTATCACAATACAGGTCTTTGTGTTATCTTTGATCAGGTATCCTTTCGTAGAAGCCAATGGCAAGTTACCTCATAGCCGTAACCATGGCAGCCGTATGGATTACGTCGAAGTCGTAAGTACACATCTTTTAGTCGTGGATTAGCACGGTATCTGTCTATGTTTCTGGATCAATTGCTGGTTATGAAAATACAAGTTTTTAGTTTTATTTTTACACTGTTTGGAGCTATAATGTAAATAAACCAGAACCGAAATTTTCTTTTCTAAATCATAAAGCATTGTGCGGCTCTTCTTTATATACGATCTGTGTTGCTTCTGTTTTTGAATGTTACAAGATACTAATGAATACCGTATATTTTGCTGAACATTCTAGGTGTCTGGTCCACCACCACATCAGCAATTCAATATGTATCGCGGTTATCACAAACCTATGCAGCAGCATCCATCGGGAAAGTCAACCTTCTTATGAGAAGGAAAATTACCTTTTTCTCTACAACTAGGCTCATGAAGTGCATGGGCGCTGACTACTGTATGACATTTGGGGACTGGTCAAGTGTATAAAACTGTAACTCGGAACTGGATAGTTCCTTGTAAATAGATTTTGTGGCTTTTGCAGTGCGACTTCTCCAACCAAGGCTTCCTCAACAAATGTTATGTTTCTGATAAACAAGGGTTAGTCTCTTTCTGATTAGCAAGGGCAGCAGATTGTACCCTGCGAACAGAGTCTCCTTTTTTAAAAGGAGACTCTGCTCGCAGGGTAAGCAGATTGAGAATATCCCATGTATCCACTCTACTCTTGTAGTGTATTCTTATATTGTAAAATCTGTTGGTGGTGTTGTTTTTCTCTTGGGTGGGTTGGCATAATTACTTCATTATCCAGATACTTAGACAAAAGATTAGCTGCAAATTTTGAATTTAGACAATTTTTGATTCAGCTGATAAACATTCCGCGCAAGACAGGCAAGACACTGTTAGATTCCCCTCTTTCTCTTTTCATTGGCTAATTTAAAGAAAATTTGTTCGGGTGTCCTTGGTTAGAATAGTTTCACTGTATACGTAATAACTCCTCACTATCCGTATTTATGAACAAAGCTAATTCTGAAGTAATCCAGAAAGACGTTTCATTCCTTTTCAATGCTGGATACCTTTTTCAGCACATTCCCCCTCCCCTTGTGTTGTGGAGTCCCTCAAGGCTCCTGTCTAGGCCCCCTGCTCTTCACCATCTATGCGGGTAAATTGTTTTACATCCTCAAGTCTCACCTATCATCTGCTGATGTATACGCGGACGACATACAGTTGTATCTGTCGTTTAGACCATCTGACACTTCCAGTGAAATTGAAGCTGTGTCTGCCATAGAGGACTGTATTCGTGATGTTAGAGCGTGCCGATGAGGGAGGACAAGTTGATGTTAAGCGACGATAAGACAGAGTTCTTGGTGATTGGCACGCGCCAGCAATCGTCCAAGGTGTCCATCAAGAGCATCAAGGTTTGTCAAGCAGACGTCATCCCGTTATCCTTCGCAAGTAATTCAGGTGCCTGGTTTGACTCTAGTCAAGTGTGGACATATGCCTTTTATTACTTATATAATCTACGTCATATCAGGAAATATCTGTCTAGAGAGACTGCTCCATGCTTTTACTACGACTGAGTAGATTATTGGACTATTGCAATAGTCTCCTCTATGGAGTCCCGGACTATCAAATAAAAAAGTCACGGGTAATAAATGCTAGCGCGAGGTTTTCTTATGCAACAAAATTTTCTCATATAACACCTATACTTCCGGAACTCCACTGGTTGCCAGTACGCATGCGCATAGAATTTAAGATTCCTTTAATAACTTTTAAGATTATTTAAGGATTAGCGCCTAATTATCACAAGGATTTGGTTTCAGTCTTGCATGATAACAGTGTCTTTTTAACTAGACCGCAGTTCCCCACTAAGAAAACCATGGGTAATCGATCCTTCATGGTTGCAGCCCTAGCGTTATGGAACAATTTACCATTGTCTGCCAGACAAAAGACCAATTAAGACGAATTTATTTAGTAAAGTTTTTAATTAGTAGTGAAATTTTAGATTTATAGTACGTATATGCTTTTAATAGGATTATCAACTCACTTAACTAACTCCCCAGAGAAAGTCTCTAACTCGGGCGTAATGCAAGTTGGCATAAGTGGTAATTGTCTCATTTATATGACTTGTAAATCAAGACATATGTGATCTGGAATCCACAAAACTTATGTAGTTAAAAATCTTTTTAACAATGATTATTTTATTCACGACTTAAGTCAGCTACGATGGAGTGATGTTTCTATGCATAAAATGATCTAAATGAAATGTGGAATGTGTGGAAACACCATTTAATGAGTGTTATTGATAAAGACGCGCCTGTAAAGACTAAGAGAATTGGCAACAAAAGGTCCCCCTGGATTTCTAGACATTTAATGTCCAAAATGTATAAGAGGGACTTTTTGAAAAGAAAGCACTCACAAACAAACGATCACAAGATCTGGGAAGAAAAAAAAGATAGAAACGAGGTAAACAACTCTATTAAGCTAGCAAAACTTAGATATTTCACTGACAATCTTGATGCAAAGAAGAAAAATCCATGAAAAACGTGGAAACTCATTAAGCCTGGTTCACATATGATCGCAGACGATCGCTGGCGATCGAGTGCGATTATATGTGAACAGCTCTGCGATCGCCTGTGATCGTCTGAGATCGTCTGCGATCGCAGGAATAGAATCGGGTTCTATTCCTGCGATCGGTTGCGATCGTTTGCGATTATATGTGAATAGAATTCTGCGATCGTGAGATTGGAAGGTGTCCCACAATGCTCAGTTTTCAATAAAACACGTGTATATTTTTGATTTTCACAAGCGAAAAAGCATTTCTTTTTAGTTTTTTTTTTTAGATATAACTGGTATAAAAGTATCAACACACGGTTATATATGCTAATTTACGTTTGTAAGCCATATAGGCAAGTAAACAACTGTCGTTTGGGGGTATATTTTAAGATTGCACGTCCTGTTCTTCATAGTGATGACTCCACTGATGAAGTATTCATGATCATTAAGTCGAACGTTTCTTTTTTGATTTGCCAGCGATTATTTTTTTAAGTCCACGTTGAATCTGCATCGTACTTTGTTTTACTGCTGAGTGATAATTCGCGGACTCAGGTGTCAACAAAACGCCGGCGATCGGCTGCGATCATATGTGAACAGTTCGATTTGAGATCCTCGGTTGAGTGGATTCTGCGATCGAGCGATCGAGAGCGATCGTCTGCGATCATGTGAACCAGGCTTTAATGAGTTACAAAATCGTTAACGGAAAGTAACTAATATATCCGGAATAAAAAATAGATGATCAAACCCTCAACTGGGCACCCGACATTGCTGAGGCGTTTAACACACATTTTAATAGTATTGGTCATTGTGTTTATGCAGATATTCTGCCGAACCTGTCCCGAAGTTAACCTTATATACAGTATGGAATGTCCGAGAGCGTTGTTGTCGCGGACCAATATCGAACTAATTATGTCTAGGGGGATGGGTTATTAAGATTTGATGCTGATTTTTTGTAAGCGCAACCTGACTCACTGCTGTTGCAATGTTGGGCACACGGGGAAATTGTACTTTTACAGTAGCATTCAACCTGCAACCACTCCACCGTGAGTTCTCTACCTAAACAAAACCAAAATTCTGTCTGTGCTATTCTATACTGATTATTTGAAAGTGATTCACCACACATTGGACATCTTGCAATAAATTTGATAGTTATGCTTGAACAATCTTTGCATATAATGGCTTGTCCTTCATTCTGTATTGAATTGATTTTGGCTTTGATTCTTTCTCAATTCTAATTTCAAGATTGATAACTAAATCCCCCTGTCAAAAAAAGATGAATGCTAATATAAATACCAATCCAATATTGACCAAGGGCGTGTCTAGGCTGTTTAAAGCATAGGGTGGCAGGATACATACTAAGTTGCGCTACATTGTTACTTCACATAATAATGACAACAAAGAGGGATACGTAGAAGGCTATATTATATGAATAATAAAACTATAATATAACATTTAGAAAGCAAAAAGAGGTAAAAGTGATGCCGACTCCCTTGAATGTGAGAACAGTACGAGTAAGAGGATACCTTAAGTCGCTGAAGATCCCTTATCCTGATGGCTTGGTTGGAACGAAATCGATCTGGCAGCGTTGGCTCCTTTTCAGTAATTTGCTCCATTACACAGCCGTTACATTCCTTAATCAAACAACATTGAGAATCATTGGAATGTTAGTTGACATATATTGATAACTGTGGCGATGCCTCAAACATTACTGACAAGTTTTATACATTTTTCTGGAGGAATGCGTCCAAGAGAATACTTTTCATTATACGTTGCATTATTATTCGTATATCTTGACCTTATTCTTACAGTGTGAAATACGCGGCCGGGATATTCTATAAAAATTCGTTTAGAAATGTTATTCATCTTGTCTTCATTCAAGTGTGTATGATAAGACTGACAGATTTTGTTGTTGTTCGCTGATTTTTCTACGTAAATCCGACGAATTATCTTGGATGCCGTAAATGAATCATTTTTAGTTCGTTATATTTTTTATGCTTCTTGTGTTCATTTATAGTAAGTACAGGAGACTATTTTTTTATCTCATGCATGCAACCTGCATAGATCTTTCCTTGATTCTTTTGATAAAAATAGTCCAAAGGTAAAGCCATGTGCTAGTGTGAGCATGCTCAGTGCTAGACATTATTCCACTCGACATAAATGCTGATTCGCTGAAATGCTGATTCGCTGAAATGCTGATTCGCTGAAATGCTGATTCGCTGAAATGCTGATTCGCTGAAATGCTGATTCGCTGAAATGCTGATAGGAACTAGTCCGAAAGTAAACGCGCAACGTTCGTAAGCAGATAGACTATTGATAAACGTTTAATTATCGATCTGCTAACATCTTAGTGAGCGAGTGACACATTTGCATATTCAGACCCCTCACAATATCTCGTTTCCACGCTTCGCGTATCCACGAGCGAAAAAAAAGCGTACGCGCCTATTGGCGGAAAATGGTACCTTGCCCTTCCCCCTCCCTCCTCTCCTCTACATGACCTAGAAAACCTCGATACGTTAGTGAGCTATAATATCAAACGTTTTACCTTTTGGTCTAATGTGAAGTTGACAAATGCTTCGCTTCCTTCTTGAACACGTGCTTTGACCAGTAATACGTTTGAAAACTCTGCATAAAACATAAGGTCTACGACGCAACCATCTTCATTAAAAACTTCAATGGGCGTTTCTGGAATTTCTTTAGAAATGAAGGAAGAAAAGAAAAAAAAAAAAAAAAAAAAAAAAAAAAAAAAAAAAAAAAAAAAGTTACCATTTTCCTAGAAATAGAATAACCAATAAAAGATAAAATATTTGATGATTACCATGTGCAGCTTTCCAGCCATCAGTACTGTTTATTATTGCATTGGGATTTAAGGGGGCTCGAAGTGACAAGGCTTCAGTAAGTGTTGATTGTCTGAAGACTACTTGCTTCTGGTCGTTCTCAGGATCTCGTATATCTTCATCGTCTATATCTTCAAGATAACACGAAAAATCGTACTTTAGCATTGTGATCTCTTTCCTCCGATATATTCAACCTGATAACTGGCCAAAGCATGTCAAGACTTGGTGCATTTACATATACACCTATTTCGAAGATCGTTGTCGCACCAAGAGCCTCAACTAACAAGCCAAGGCTCCAGAGAACGTCGGTACTTTTAATTATAATTGATTTATTCATGGTTCATGCAAGTGGCTATAGCTCTACACTAATTATCATCTTAAGCAGCCTTGCTTGGAGCAATTTGTGAAGTCAATAAATGAAAAGGCACCATGAATAAACTAATTACAGCTAAAAGTACAGGCGTTCTCTGCGGTCTTGGCTTGTTGCTGGAGGCTTTTGGTGCGACAACGATTTCTGAAATAGGTGTATAAGGCAACTAACCGTTTAGGAAAGTCTATTAGAATATTGAATATTACAAAAAAAAAAAAAAAACATGTGTCGCTTAGTTTCCTTTTTCTCCTTGCATGATAATCTTCAAATTTCCCAATCTAGTAAAAATCATTAGTAGTTGATATAATTCAAACTTCCCAGTGTTTTAGGCCTTTTTACCTCGGCTAACATCTCTTAGAACGGCATCAACATCGTCCTCTTTTCCCAGGTTCTTCAAAAGATAGATAGCAAAATAGCCATTTGTTTTGGCCTCATTTTCGAAAACAGGTTTTCTTGAACAGCTTAAACAAACAAGAACAATAATGATAACAACAAAGTAAGGTGGATTGATCGTAGCTTGACCTCGGAGGAAAGAGGCTGCTGAGGGGGACCTTGAAGAATGTGTAGGATTCATGAACATTCTGTTATCGAGCATACTTACCAACCAAAAGCGATGATAACATTCTTTTTTTCAATATTTAAACCAGGATCCGGTCGTGGAGTTTCTGTTCTTGATGGCCTGGTAAGAGTAAGAAGCTGGACCATTTATTAACAGAAAGCGTTCATGAAAAAATGGTATAAACTACCAGGACAAGTAAAAAGTAGTTACAGAAAACAAATAGTTAATATATTCCCAGTCAACTCGTTTTTGATTCATTCCCTTAGTTATGCCTGACTTCAGTTACCATATTTTCAACCATGAATACACTTACCTAGTTCTGCAACTGTCCAAGAGAATAACATTGAGTTTCGCTTGACTACTTTGCATAGGTTGAATGACTTCTGATGCACTTAAGTTCTCCTTGGTGTCGTACGTGTTAGAAGCATCAACTGGCATTAAGTAACTTTGATTCCCATCTTCAAAACCATGACCAGCAAAATAGAAAAGAGCATACATGTCTTTGTCAAGCAATTTACAGAATTGTTGTACGGCAAATCTCATCTCTGCTAACGTTAGATCAACGAGAGATACGACCTAAAACAAAGAGAAAATTGTTGGTCTTACGAAAAAAAAAAATCTTAAACAAGCCAGTTATATTTTAAACCGAAGAGATGTTAGATTACATTTATCCATGGCGGGTGATTACTGAGGTTGGTCAGCCGATGCTTTACATATCGTCTTTTAAACGGTTATTTTTATATATAGGCAACAAATACGAATAGTCCAAACGCCTGGGATCTGTTATGAATCATGCCTTCTTTGACAATTTCCTTATTTTTTGACTAAAATATACTGTACGTGCCTACAAGAAGCAAAAATATGGAAAGGAAGAATAAAAACAATTTCATTTTACCGCCATTTTTGCTTTGTTCTTTCAAGCTCATAATTTGTTCTTTGCGCGCCTCGTTCACCACTCAGCTGGCTTGTTCTCAATGGCAAAACCTATACTTACCTTGAAACCAATACTTCTAAGCATACCAGCCAAATCACAGACATCGTTCGTTGGATGATAAAGTTTGCTTAACTTGCCGTTCTTGTAATCTTTGTTACCAATGAGCAGAGCAATTTTGTCGGAAACTGATGCCAGAAAAGAAACATAAGCCTAAATACAGAGGACAGATTAAACATTCCTGCGCCAAGATATGGCGTTAATGTTCGATTGTTTAACGGGTTATGCTTCGAGAAGAAAAGACTCATGGTGGAAACACTAGTAAAATGGGAACCATGATGACGTTAATGGACGAAAGCTCTCCTTGAGTTTAGTGTTAGAGTAACCTTTAAAATATTGCAATAACAAAAAACAATGAGTGTGCAAAATCGCTGTGCATAAACGATTCCCAGAAGGTCATCGAAGTCACAATCATTGGAAATCCTATAATATATTGTAAAAGTGTTCACTCATGTAATTACCTCCACGTTCAACTCCTCGAGTCGTTGTTGGTGATAGTGCTAAGCGCGGTAAAGAAAAAAAGTAATAATTTTAGTATGATGATGATGATGATGATGATAATAATAATAGTAATAATAACAATATATAACATTGCACGAACTTTTAAAGTCCATGTGTGAAGCTCGCCTTTGCCAGCCTATGTGACATTGACATAGTTTATGAAGAAATAGAAAACGCGCGCGCGTGCTGTGTGCTGTTATATAGCACGCGAAAATAGGTRGAACACGAGAGAAGTGTTTGGAGAAGCACGACGCGTGGCGGAGGAAATTTAGGCATATCCTTCTATAGTCAACTAAAGACTTTATATTATCGATATTTGTTAGTTTTCACTTATAATATCACTTGCCTAGAAGGATTTTTTGGGGCTCAACCTCCCACCCAGCATATCCTTAAAATCCTACAGATTACATTAATACTTATTGCACAGGTTAATTGGATCATTTATATGCATTCTTGTCAAATTAGTATAATTTCAATGTTATTGGTGATTTCAATGTAGTAATAATGTTACCTGAATGTTTCACAACCAGCACATCAATCACATCTGATACAGTCTGTCCTGAGCTATTTGAAGCAATACAGAAAAACTTTCCTCCATCATCGAGACTCATGTTAGTTTTATTGTATTCTCTCTGTTTAGCTCTTGGGATGGGGCAATCATTCCTGTACCACTGATATTCTGGTGCTGGATCACCCACTGCATCACAGTACAAACACAGCATCCCACCCAACGCTATCTGCGTACACCGAGGTTGTGTCGTGATTAAAGGTTTAGCTATGAAAAAGTAGAAATATATCAGTACACTCACCATAGCATTGTGTAATTGGGAAGGCTGGATCCCTGGGGCCATGGGCAACTTTACCAGATATGCTTTTTGTATCTCTTAGGAGTAAAAATCCGTGTTTTGGTATATTTTATTATGAGGTATAAAATTGAAATTTAGAATGACTGCATTTCTTAATATATTTTGGGGGGGGGGGGGGTGGGGTATCAAAAAAGGAATAGTCCATCACTTTTTGTATTATTCATTGATTATTATCTTTGATGGAATTGATTAATGAATGGTTAGTTTAAATCACTACAATTTACTTTTCACCATGCAATTGTGAATAAGAAGAAACGGGAATATAGTAGCAATTATTTTTAAGGTTGGTTATAGTTCATGGCCTTCATACTAGCTAGAGGTCCACAATTCAATCTCCATGAGTGTTTGGACTTATATCTGTTCTGTGTGGCTGTGCCTTTAAATGCACTTAATAAGGAGCACTAATAGTTTGAGGGGGTAAAGAATGCACCTTCGAATGCTTCATAATGATCCTGGCTCAGGAGATTTGAGTCATAACCATTCTAGCATTATAACTAAAATATATCACCTTTACCTTTTAGCAGTGGCGTGATTAAGGACTTACCTAGATGGTTTTCTGAATCAGTCAACTCCACTTTGGTCCAATTACTAAATACATACTGGCCAGTAGTGTTAGCCACCCTGCATATGTAGTAACCTTCATCTTCCTGACAAACATCTGACAGCTGAAGAAATGGTTGAGTCTTACCTGTGCGTGTATCAAATTAAAATAATAAAGTATAAAAACTGCATTAATCTCTTTCTAGCTTTAATTGTACAGAAATCTGATTTTAATTTTTGGACTATCAAATCATATGAACAATATTTACAGTAGCTGATGAGTTTGAGGATGATATAGTAACTCGTTAAAAATAACAAAGCTATGATTACAAAATTAATAAGTATGAGGAATAAAACAGATACCAGATGGTTGCCACACAAAGATTTTCCTGTAAGGCAACTTAGCACTTTCATTAATGAGCGCAATGACAGTGTTGATTTTCGATCACGAAATTGTGTTTTGTACATTTTGAAGTGATGTATGCTAGCTCTGATGAGGAAATAAGATAAAAGTCCAAAACGTTGGTCCGAAATTATTGAATATGTATATATTGGTTACAGTCAAACCCTATTAAGCATTCACCCTCGGGCAGAAGCAAAGTAGCCTATTAGTAGTAGTTGACTGCTTAATAGGGGTTTCATAAAATTTGACAGAGTGGTGGCTTTTGTCTAAGGTGCATCTTAATCTTGAGGTATTAACTGCAGAAAAAAACTACACATAAGACATTCATCATGTCAATAATTTTAGATGCTACCAAGGATTGTCAGCAATTGGAGCCAATCAGGGGCAAGATATTAAGTGAAAGGTTAAATGGAGCATAATTTATAACATCACCTGCTAGGGGCTCCTTTCTCTTAAACCACTGATATGATAGTGAGGTAGAAGGAGATGCTTCACAGTGTATTGCAACAGAACTTCCTTTAGGCTGCCGATACAGTTCATTTGGCTGTTTTATTATTTCCAAAGGCACTGATGAAATTGGAAGAAGAAGTCAAATAATAATTAATTAGTATAGACTAGAAGAGATAACTTAGCTAAACTAGTGTGAGCTGCGTCGGTGTTTCTAATGAAACAATATAGACTAGTATTATTTCAATAATAATAATGATGCTGATGATGATAATGATAATACATTTACTTTATCTATCAATCATTAATTTATTAATCAGTCATAACATATCTCTAAGCAATCTTTAATAGTGATCATGACAAGACAAATCTGATCATCCACTACAATTGACCTATAACATTATGACGTCACAGCTTGTTTACATGGGTAAGAATGATAGGAATTTAGGTGAAATTTTCTTTTGTTCGGGATACATTTTAGTTCAACATTTATCTGTTATCACCTTTCCCTGTCTAATTAACCATTTTTTACTGTGATTTAATTCGTTTTGCTTCTATTTTGCCCCCTCTGGCGACCATGATCCTTAGCGTTAAAACAATAGATTGCTTTGATGTGACGTCACAGTGTTGTAGGGCAATTATTATTCATACACAAACTTTATGAACCTACTCTGTTGAAACAATGTCAGCAATGCTTGTAGCTGATGGCTTTGTGTCCTTGAGTGCAGCTGACTTATCCACCTTACTAGCTGTGGCACAGTTATTCCCCTAATTGCTAAGTCAGTGAGCAAAGCTCTAGTTGGGCTTCCATGGGGTTGTAGAATGGTCATTGCAAAACTTTCAATTTGACTGCGCTGATATACAACTGTAGGTGACATCAATTGTATCAGTGCACGCCAGTTGCCATTAGATGAGTTTCGACTGTCAAGAGCAGTGGCAAGTTCTTTTTTTATGTTTGGCGGTAGGTCGTCAATTTTATTGTTTTGGTAAGCCATAGTGAACCATAAATAAGTCAATTCAATAATAATTCACCTCCTGAAAAATAAGTTGAAGCGATGTATTTAGAGAGCACTCACTTTTTACCAGGGAGGGGTCATTAAAACAATCAGGGTCAAGAGTYGGGGCTATGCTAACGATTCCAATGTTCAACACTGCTTTACAAGGTATGAATATAAAAACTATGTACATAAATGCTCAAAAATATACTTGTAAACAATAAATTCTATTTAAAACACTCATTAATAATTCATAAGCTTATGGTCCAATTGGAGCCACCATACTCATCACGTGCATGAACCTTTATACCCGATAAAGTCCTCTTCATTAGTATTCAAGTGATTTTATATAAAGACCACTCGAATACTATGAGGATGACTTCATCAGGGATGAAGTATGCATCCAAGTTTAGATGAAGACATAGAGCTTCATCAAGGTCATAGTCAACCCTAATGATCTTTGACTAACGTGCCTGTCTTTGCCTTGGCACACAATATCCAACGTGTGGGAGCTTCTATTGAATCTGGTTGCGCATGCCCGTGACGTTACCCTGCGAGCAGAGTCTCCTTTTAACTCCTCTCTCGCCCGTAGAGGAGTTAAAAGGAGACTCTGCTCGCAGGGTACCGTGATGTCAAATCTCTATCGAAGTATAAAAATCCATGTTCGTGACGTGTATGGTGACTCCAGTTGAACCAAAATCTTATAAATTGTTCATGAGTGTTTTAAGCAGTTCAAAAAACTCGTAGATCGTGTTTTATCAGGTATGAAAGCACTCGGCTACGCCTCGTGCTTTTATACCTGATAAAACACTCCTACTCGTTTTTTAAACAGTACATACAATGTGTATTATATAAATTTTATATACAATGTATAGGCAGTGTAAACTCTAGGGTGAAAATATTTAAAAAAAAATTAAAATTAAATTTGAAGATAACTAACAGGTAATTATCAAAAACAAAGTAAGAAAACTATAAAACACTCACAAAAATTATTTGGTGGTAACTAGTAGAGTACTAGCATGGACTGTGTCGGTGTTTCTCAATAAAACAGTAGGAACTAGCTTGTAGATAAATTGGATCACTGTAAAAAGCTTTGTGAAACTGACGTTTCAGATGTTAGTCCTTTCGTTGGAGTAAGCGAAAAAAATTACGTTGATCAATCTTAATCAGGATATGCTTGTTTGAAGAGCCAGGTCTTAAGTAAGCTTTTAAAAGAAAAAAGAGAAGTACATGACTGGATGTTGATAGGGAGAGTACTATTCCACAGCTCAGGGGCTGCGCAAGAAAAGGTTCTCTTATCACAGGAAATTGGATCGTTAGAGGGCTTTGACAGAAGATTAAGACCAGTACATCGTAAAGTCCTTGTAGGTTTATATGGTGTAAGCAGATCAGAAAGATAAGAAGGAGCACAGTTATTAAGAGATTTAAAGGTGAGTAATAAGATCTTGTATTGGACACGTTGTTCTATGGGTAGCCAATGAAGGCTATATGCAGAAAAGGAGTAATATGCTCAGATTTATGAGAAAAGGTGAGTACCCTGGCTGCAGTGCTCTGTACAAGCTATAACTTTTAAAGAGATGATTTTGACAGGCCATAAAGGAGGGAGTTACAGAAGTCCAATTTAGAAGAGATGAGTGTGTGAATAAGACTGTTATAGTGTCTCACAGGCCCTAACACTGATGTGTTTTCTGATCATAGAGATGTTCCTTAAATGAAAAACTAAGATTTACAAATGGAGGAAATATATTGATTGAGAGATATATCTTCATAAAGTATAACACCAATAAAATATTGCATGCTTTCGCAGAAAGTGAGATGTCATGACCTGCGATATTTACAGAGTTGATAGAGGGTCTAGGACAAAAAGAAGATGATAGTAATACGATTTCGGTTTTGCCGCCATTTATCTTAAGACTTTTCTGCAACATCCACTTGTCTATATCGTGCACACAGGCTTCAAATGTAGGCTTTGCATTGTCCAGCTGAGAAGTACATGATGTTGAAAATGTAATATATAGCTGAGAATCATAAGCCTATAGGTCAGTGAAAGTTAATGTTAATAGCTACAAACATTATCCGTGATTGGTGCAGTATACAACATGAACAGAGCAAGCCCTAGAATGGAGCCTTGTGGCACTCCACAGTTGAAGCTACAAGAATTTGATTAACCACCCTCAACAGCAACGACATAGCACACAATACTCAACTATGTCAGTGTGCACCTACCATTCCTGGATGCATGCTTGTGCATGCTAATTAACCAATCAGTGTACACGTTATATTGTGGCTACTGTATGTCATAACTGTTATTATTGTTACAACAAATGTCGCATTGGGCAATCCTATATTCTCTTAGGTGATTATTGAGAAATAATCTGAAGTTTGCGATCAATCAGTACAATCACATGATTTTCTATAATCACATGGGTAATGATACTAATGACACTTGATTTTCAGCCAGTTAGTCCTAATTTGAGCATCTTAAGTAGTAGATTAGCTTACATTTAGCAAATTATTTGACACTCTACCAATAAACCATTGCTGTTGGTTGTGCAATACAAGATTGAAGCTGTTTCAGCCTATTTATTAATTCAAAACATATCAAGACAAAACTAGGAAACATTAATTTCTGGTTTCGATTCATTTTTTGGTGCTTATATATAATAAGCTACCCGGGAAGCTAGCCTATATGATTTGTTCTAGCTATAATATAAGCTTAACTTATCAAAATATAAAAATGAATAAAAACATTAACACCTTATAGCAAAAATATATTTGAGCTTAACCAGTAACAAGCTTATAGACTTCGTAATATTTCTTGATCATAGGGTCTGTATGAGGAACTTTTCCATGACTAGTGCACTCACCATTTTAGATGAAGTCCTCACTTGTAAAATAGTAAGTAAGTTTCATATGTATTGATGACTTTTAATAGGATCGCTGTATATCTTCTATGCGCTGAGCTAACGTTTTGGTGAGGAAGTCACTTAGTTTACGTGGTTCTATCTCTGCACTTTTCACTTTCATATTTCTCCCGGGGATATTTTGAACGGTGTATTTTTGTTCAGAGGTCATCCTCCTTCAGTCATGCACATATCTTCTATGGGGGACACCCTAGGGTACATCTGGCAAGATTACGATTACAAAAAACTTCTCAGATTATTTCCAAAATGTAATCAAAATTTGTGAAATACTCAGGTTTATTAAAAATTTTCGCACTGTTGGTTTCTATAATTATGATATCCTCTTCAAATTTCATTGAAAGTGTGCAATACTTATTTCCCTGGGGAGTACCGATAGATGCCGGTTGTCAATTGTCTGTTCCCCACAAGGGAATTCTACGAACGACTTCCTGCTTTTGGAAAAGGGAAATTTCCCTGTCATCAGAGTGCATTTGTGGAATGATTTAAGCTTCCTTTAATACGTCAGAAATATAAAGAATCCTTATTTTGGTGTATTCTTCAACTGTAAGTCGATGGTTTGTATTTTTTTCAAAAGTCATCATTCCTTGGATGTTCTTCGGTAAAAGTAAGCGTTAAGCAATTCGTTTTGTGCACAAGTACGGTCTACAACCCGACTACAAGTAAGTAAGCTTACTTTCGTACCATCTATGCACTTTACTTACTTTGAACACGTTTTTATGACTCATCTTACGATTCTATTGATATTTTAACTTAACTTAACCACTATAATCAAGCACATCTTGGCCTTTAATACGCATGACGGCCTGTATTTGAAGGACGTTCGTGGGCAAATGAAGTTGCATTCAATATTTTAACTTGGCATAAACATACCCCATATGTCTTGTTCAAAAATGAAATAAAACATGAGGTTCACCGAATTCGTTATTTTTTCTTTGCTTAACGATGAGGAAATATGGTATTCGTGCGCTATAATATTTTATAGAGTTAAAATAAGGTATCAAAGAAACGCTTCGAAGAAAAATAAAAAACTTCAAAGAAATGCAGAAAATTAACAAATTATTGGCCATTAAATATGACTTTCTTTGACATTTCTGAAATAAAAGCATGAAAGTAAGTGATAAGGATTTATATATAGTCAAGCTTAAGGTTTGCCAGATGCATGATAAACAACACAGTAGGCCAAGGCATACATAGAGCATGGCTGTGACATGGCAAGGCATACACCAGACCAATCACTTTGCATGAGAATTTATTCTCCATCCAATCGAATACCCAGCATAAACACGGCACGGACATGGTTACGACAAGGTCACGGCACTGTCAGAACAATCACATTGAATTGCGTGAGAAAAAAATCAGCCAATTAAAATTCTAAAAACTCACGGTCAAGGCACGGCACGCTTAGGACACTGGGCTTTTCACAGTCATGCGAAAACTGCTCTAAGAACAATCACATTGCACAAAAATCTACTCTCCATTCAATCAAATACTTTAAACGTGCCATAAACACTGCATGGACATGGTCACACCAATTACAGTGCAACTACTAAACAGGGCCACATAGTCAGCCAGAACCAATCTTGTAGAATGAAAACAATACATTCCAACTTTGGGTAGTGGAGCCAATCAGACACCAGCAGAAAACAATAGCATTTCCACATATCTTTTATTACCAAAAGAAAATGAGGATTCGTTGGCTATCTAGTTGTTTGCAAGTAACTCAGGGTCAAATTACCATACTCTTGCCGTCTAGGTTTCTTATTGGCCCAAGTACCCAGAGTTGGAATGCATTGTTTTCATTCTACATTTTTATTGGTTCTCTTGTCTAATCCTGTCTAACTGGTCTAAGTGGCATTGTGTATAGTAATTACACAGTAAGGTCACCGTAGTACCAGACCAATTATGAAAAAAAACAGCCAATCAATTAATCAAAATTCTAGAWAACATGATGGCATCTGTTCAACTCAAATGGTAACCCTCATCCAACAGACTTCAGAGCAATATAAAGTATAAACTTTATTTCTATTAGATTAACCCCTTCAAACAGGCTATCCAGTTTTTATTTACATATAAACGATAATGTGAAATAAATATAGATTAAAAAAACTTTTCCATACCTTTTTTTCATATCAGATAAGCAATCATGTCTAATGATGACAAGCAAAAACGTCTGAATGATCAGATACGAAAACTGCCATATTCAATTATACAAAAGCTGGCTCAATTTCTTGATGACCCTGATGATAACACCATGAACTGGAAGGCTCTCATAGCTGCGATGCCTGATGACACCTACACAAAACAACAGGTTAGAAATACAGCTAGCAAGCAATAAGCTGCTAGTTTATATGTAATTATGGGTGGCGTCAGTTTACTGCTCACCTTTCATAGCTGTGGTCCAGGTTTTAGTCCAGGCTCAAACTGAATCATATGTGAGTCAATACTTAAGCAGCCTAAGACTATGATAAGCCATATGTCAGCCCCATTTGAATCAAAATCAACCAAATTTTGTAGTATTACAGTACTCTAGCTGTTCTTCAAAAGTATCTTTAGAGATAAGTTGTCATAGGCAACAGT